CATTTTATTTCTTTATATTTATTGTTTTGGGGGGGGGGGAGCGCGAGGGGCCCCTGGAGGAATTCAAGGAGGCCCTCAGGTGTGGGGGGGGGGGCGCAATCAATTTTTTTTTTGCAGGAAGTATTTACAGCCGTTGTTATTTTTTTGCTGGAAGATGTTGAGATGCCGAAGGTTCTGGGCCAGTAGATTTCGCAGGGTTTTTTTATGAAGTAAAGATGTGGGGGTAAATCATCCAATCGGGGAAGGTTGTTCAGGGATAGGGTTAGGGAGTAGGTTCTGCGTCCCCCTTTCTCCCTGTTCAAATTTTTCTTCCACTTCATTTTTAAATAGTGAAGGCGGTCCGTGGGGGGGGGGGCTGTGCCTAGAATTTCCATTCCAGAAAGCGAGGGGCAAGGGAGCGGTGCGATTAACTTAGCACGTGTGGGGGGAGGCTGAGTTTTTGTGTATTTTCTCGCCTATGCTGTAGTGCAAGCCTTGGTCTTGGTATCGCTGCCGGAAAAGGAAAACGCGAGGGTTGGTTGACTGTAAATATCCCCCAGCTAATGCCACGAGTCGATCGTCAAGGTGCTCTTGCCCGATGAATCAGCTGTGTGTTTCAGTACAGCGGTATTCAATTATTGTTGGACGTTTTCTGCCCCCGCTTCATGTTGTATTGTTAAGATAGGTATTTGCGCCCTCTAAGCGTCAAAGGCATTTGTAACGTGTCAGGTGTCAACCATCTTAGCAAACAAGAGCATGGCTATTCTCTTGCCTGTGGACGTTTCCCTTGGGTCATTGTGTTTTCGCTCGGTCCGCGTTAAACCTCGTCATCGTCATCGCCATTGGTGTCGTTGGTGGTGTTGGTGGTGGTGTTTAGTTTCTCGCACTTGTGGTTAGGTCTTACCATGTTGTCGTTGCTTCTCACGCTTGTTTTCTGTATCTTGATTACATCAGTGAAGCGGGGAAGAATGTCGGAGTTGTTGCTTCTCACACCGGATGGCTTGATCTCAGCGGTATTGTTTGTTGCCTCTCACGATTGTCTCACACTTGATGGATTGATATCTTGATCGCCGTGAAGCAGGGAAGAATTGTCGGAGCTGAAGGGACGCGTGGAGCACGCAGAGGGGCCAGCGGTCATGGAGCTGGAAGAGGAAGTGTCCCGATTGCAGGTGGAGGATGAGATGATATCGTTTAAGAACATCGTCATTATATGGTTGTTGTTGCTGCTGCTGCTGCTGTTGGTGATGTTGGTGTTATTGCTCTGTCTCGTTCTGCTATTCTGGTGCAGTGTCCAAACACCGCCAGTTTTAGTGCTCCTCTCCGTCTCTCTCAACTCCTCTCCCTCTCGCGCTCGTTTTCTCTCCCTCTGGCATTCATTGACTCTGTCTGTGTGAAGGGAAGGTCCTTCCCCCCCGTCCATCTCTCTCTCCTCCTCACCCTTCTCTTCCTCTCTCCCTCTCTCATTTTCCAACATGTGTGTGTTTCGTCTATCCCGTTCCTCTCTGTCGCTGGCCGACATCGCCCCTCCCCCCCCCCCAATATAAAAAAACAGAGGCGGTGCGACGGGCTTACGGAGGAAGTTGAAAGACTCACGG